TTTTGGGAAGGGGGGGGGGGGGGCTGGTGTGTCTGTTAAGGTAGCTTTTTCTGGTGGGTCACAATCTCTTTCAGTTTTTGTTGTGATTTCGGGGTTATCCCCAAAATTGCGCTTTTAATTTTTGCTTTGGCTTTCACACTAATTATTACTTATAGGGAATGGTAAGGCACATGAGTTGTTGAAACGATTACATTCATGGGGTCCAAAATGGGAAGCTTATCTCAAATTTTACTTCTTTTGGGGGTTTTGAAATGACTCCCACTTCATAGTGTTAGGTAGTGACTATTGAGGTGTGAATTCTAATCAAAGTTAAGAAAAAAAAATCCCCCATCTTCTTTCCATAAAATGTTAAGAGTGAGAATCATGGATTTGGAAATAATTGGTTTTATGGTTCTTGAGTATTATTGGTGATTAATTTGTAGTTTGTTTGGGATATGAATTTACAGGAATATTAGTTAAGAGGAATGAGGAGTTAATTTTCTTGTGGATGGACCGGCGTAGTTGGTTGTGGCGGAGGAAGGCATCGGAGAAGAGTCCGAGTGGCAGTGGTGAAACTGAAAGCTCTTCTGTTGGATCCATTTCTTCCCATTCTGAGAGGTTCTTTGATGATCAGGTCAGATTCATTTTCTTCCTCTTCTTTATTATCTTCCAAATGATTCCATTCCTTGTCGTCTTTTTTTTTTTTTTTTTTTGGGGGTGATTTCAGGGGTTTTCCCCTTTCTAATATTTGGTTAGGTAGCAGAAAACTTTTTTTGTAAAAATATAACTATACTTTAGGCAAACACTACGGAGGAGACGAAATGGGTAAGGGTAGCAGGGGCTGGTGGTAGGTCTTGCGTTAGTAAAAAGACAGCCCGGTGGACTAAGCTCCCGCTATTTGCGGGGTCCGGGAAGGGCCGGACCACAAGGGTGTATTGTACGCAGTCTTACCCTGCATTTCTGCAAGAGGCTGTTTCAACGGCTTGAACCCGTGACCTTCTGGTTACACGGCAACAACTTTACCAGTTACGCCAAGGCTCCCCATAAAATAAAATGTTCTTGTTGAGAGTCGAACTCAAGACCTTTGCTAACTAAACATGACTCTAATCAACTAAGCTACGAGAGCTTGTTAGGTCTTGCTTTAGTAACAATAACATACCCAGTATAATTCCACATAGTAGGCTTTGGGGAGGGTAGTGTGTACGCAGACCTTACCCCTACCTTGTGAAGATAGAGAATTTGTTTCCAATAGACCCTCGGCTCAGGAATAGGTCTTGCTTTAGTCCACTTGTTAAAAAGAAATGTATCACTTAGCACTGATATCTGAATGCACTTTCCTATCATGGTTTCAACTTTTAATAGCCGCTTTGGGTGCGAATCTTATTTACTGAATCTCAAATTTGTCAAATTGGTTGCTGCATAGCAGCGCTTGCTTTAGGGCTTTCAGTGTGGAATAATCAAGGTTTAGATAACAAATTCTGAATGCGCTTGCGCACTGTTGTATAGCAGGACGCCCAGTCAATAAATATTATACCTCACTCTATACGCTGAATGCTCTATGCACATAAGATATGTACGCTGAACGTTAGAAAAATACTGCAAAGGTATGATTATCGTTTTAAAGATACTGAAACGATACTGAAAATTGGTGTAGGGACTCCTGGTTTGCGCTTACTGATATGGATTTTTTTACTTGTTTCGAAAGGCTCTTCAAAATCATAACACTCAATCTCCTGAAGTCACATCTAAAACTGCTCCCAGCGATGAAGAACTTAATGAAACTGTCAAGACGCTGTCAGCTAAATTATCCGAAGCTCTTGTGAACGTCCGTGAGAAGGAAGATTTGGTAAAGCAGCATGCAAAAGTAGCCGAGGAAGCTGTCTCAGGTAGAACCTTATTTCCTTGAACGTGAAACTTATGCTGGAACTCGTTCAGCTATTTTACTAGTTGCCTTCAATACTAGTCGTTGACAATACCAGTATGAATTTTGGTTCTTCCTCCATATTTCAATAGTTAAAAGGACACTGAAAAAAATGAGCCAATGTTCCTACAACTGTTGCTTCTAATTTTATTATTGTAGTTGAGCTCAACATTATTTAGTACTATAATTTATCATATCAAGTGTCTCGGGCTTTTGCACAAACATAAGTCATTGGTTGACTCTTTATTTACAGTGTCTGCAACAGGTCTTGAGGAAGATATGTTGTAGTGTTTTGAGTTTTCCATTTACTTGGGCTGTTCTATGTCAATGAAGTATAAGGATTCATATTTAATGAATTGGTTGTGCAAGTGGAGATCCAAGCTCCTTTGCAGCTTGTGCTGAAGTTAGTTCAATTCCAAACAGTTGAAGTCAAATCCTAAAATAGAATTTAAATAGGAGTAGTTGAAGTCTGAAGTGAAGCACTTAATAGTTTTCGCATAATTGATTGAACATGGTATATAATGTCTGACAGTGGGTTCTTTGCTTTTTTGACATTTGTTCTGGTCAATAATTTATTCTATAAGGATGGGAGAAGGCTGAAGCTGAAGTGTTGATCCAGAAGAGATTAGTTGAGACAGCAAACCAGAAGAACTCAATCCTTGAAGAGCGTATCAAACATCTTGATGGAGCGCTTAAAGAGTGTCTAAGACAGCTTCGACTGGCAAGAGAAGAGCAAGCGCAGAATGTCCAGGTCGCTGTAGCCAAGACAAGTTGTGAGTGGGAGTTTAAAAAGTCTGAACTTGAAAATAAGCTTGTTCAGCTCCAGTCTCAACTGCAAAGCTCTAAAGCCGAAGACAGTAACGTTCAAGATCTTCAGCGTAAGCTTGAATATGCTGAGAAACAGAACTCAATCCTCAAGCTTGACCTTGTTTCAATATCTGAGGAGCTCAAACTAATGACATCTGAGAGAGATTTAAGTACTCATGCTGCTGAAACAGCTAGCAAACAACGCCTGGAGAGTATCACGAAAGTGGCTAAGCTTGAAGCAGAATGCCGTATGCTCAAGGCATTTGCTCGGAAAAGATCAACAGTGAATGACCACAAGTCTACCGCTGCTTCCTCAGCTTATTTTGAACCTTCCGCTGATAGTTTGTCAGATACTGGAGAACGGCTGTCTACAGCAGAAAATAATAGTTGCAAAATCAGTGGTTTGGAGCCAAATAATTATGACCAGAACAGTTCTTACTTCCTGTCTTCTGCTTTAGTTTCTGAATTGAATCAGTATAAACATGAAAAGCCACATAGAAGAGACCTTATAGCATCGTCTGTGGAGATAAATCTGATGGATGATTTTCTTGAGATGGAGAAGCTTGCAGCGCGTCCTGATACAGCGAGTGAAAGCAGCAACGTCAGAGGAGCTCACATCGGTGAACCCATTTTAAGAACTGAACGTAGAGCCATAATTAGTCAGACAGCTGAAGCGGAGAAGTTGGCAAAGATGGAGGTGGAGAAATTGAAACTAGAGAAGGAATTAACTGAGTGTCAGGACGAGCTTAAGATATCTAAAGAACAATTAAAAGAAACAAAGGACAATCTAATTGAGGTAAAAGCTCAGTTATCTATGGCAAATGAAGCAAGGAGAAAATTGGAGCCTGAACTCAAAGCTGCTATAACAAAGCTTAAAGACTTAACAGAACATTTGCAGAAAATGGAGGCTGAGATTGTGGAGCTCAAAGCACAGTTATCTGTGGCAAATGAAGCAAAGAAGAATACTGAGGCAGAAGTCAAGTCTGCCAACACTAGGCTCAAGAATTTGGTTGAACGCTTAGAAGAAGCAGACGTTGATGTAGCGGAATTCCAAGCTCAGCTCATTACAGCTAATGAAGCAAAGAGGGCTGCTGAGGCTGAAGTTGAGTCTACCAATTTGAAGCTTAAGAAATCAGAATTTCGCTTGGAGGAAACTGAAGTCAAACTTTTAGGGCTTCAAACTCAACTAGAAACCATGAAACAAATGAAATCTGGAGTTGAGGCCGAACTTGAAGCTACCAATGCAAAGAAAGATGTGGCAGAGTCACAACTTAAAGCCACTGAATTGAAGCTGCAAACATTGCTTTCTAAAGTTGATACTCTTCAAGAGGAGCTTCGCAAGGAAAGAGCTTTGCACCAGGAAACTGCTGCTAAGTTGCAGAAACTAGAAATTGATAATTCAGTGATAAAATCTGCATCCCAGCTTCAGAAAGCAACTATTGTCGAGGAATTTAAGATCAATAAGGTTAGTTCCCAAAAAATTTCATTGTTCAACTCCTTGTGCATGAATATAAAACCTTGAAGTAGTTTAAAAGTTCTTATAGATTACTTACTAATCAACTGGCAACCTGTTGGTCCTGACCCTTCATTTCCGTAGTTCTTCTTCTTCTAGAGGAGATTAAAGAAAAATCATATTTTTATGCTTAGCGACGGTTAAAGAGAAAATTGGTTATCATCTACATTCTCTGCTACTTTTAGTGGCAGAGAATGTGACCATACATGATTACTTTAGGATAATTAGAGGCTCAAAAGACGAGTGAGAGTTGAGATTGAAAGTGGAATAAAAGGTTAACTTAATACAGAACATGCTTTGGCTACATTTGGTGTTTCGAAACAATAAAAAATGAATGTGAGAACCTCTCTTTTATTGTCTAGCTCTTAAATCGTATTAAGGTTGTCCTAAGAAGTCAAAATTTTCAGTAGAGTAATTAAGTTTTCTTAAAGACAAGACTGCTTCATAAGTTATTCTGGTTTTCTGTTACTTGTAAGGTAAAAATGACAGCCTATTCAGGAGGTTCTTGAGGACAACTAAAACCCAGTCTTACCTTCAGATCATCCATTGTAGTGGCAAAGCCAGGAATTTCAATAAGGGTGTTCAAACCCTTTGCCAGGCTGTGTAAGGGTGTTCAAAATCTATTTTTTTAATCAATAACTAGTATTTTATCCTATACACTAAAAAATTTCGGGCGAAGGGTGTTCAGTTGACCACTATTGGCCTCACATAGCTTCGCCCCCGATCTATAGGCTTTCTGCCTACTAGGATTAAATTATCAGCAATCACTTATAGAAGCACGTTTCTCTGAACTGGCATGCAATAAGTTTGTGTTGCTTTGTGATTTTACTTCTCCAGAACTCCTTATATTTTACATTATGGTAAGAAGGCATTTTCTCCTCAAACATTTAATTACCTCTGTAAGCTAAGCACTAACACTGGTTTTTTAAAGTGAGCTTGCATTCTATTTTTGTTAAAGCAAAGCATTGTATATTTTTCTTTTTATTCATTTAGAAAATGCTGGATGTTTCGATACTTTAGATCTCTTTTAACTAGTTATGTTGCGCGACCCGTTTCGGATCCTCCAAAAATACACTACATTTGGAGGATCCGACACGCACCTGGCGATATTTTCGGAGAGTCCGAGCAACATAGCTAACTAGTACACTTTTTGTAGAACAACGCTAAGATAAGACTTACATTAAGGGGGTAATGCCAATGGCATGTTCTTTATGTTGCATCATGCATGCATAAATTTATATTGCACCTTCGCAATGGTTGTTCTGTAACTAAAAATATTTGCTCAGTGTTTCCTCATATTTATGATCCATCTTTTATTTTGCATGTCAGGATAAACAAATGGCAATAGCAGCTAGTCAATTTGCGGAGTGCCAAAAGACAATCGCTTCTATTGGTTGGCAATTGAAATCCCTTGCTACCATGGATGATTTCTTGATTGACTCAGGTGAACCATTGCTGATACAATGACATTTCCAAAAGAAGGTTTGGTTCAAAAAATTGCCTTCCTGTGGCTCTCCCTCCCAAAGATTCTGAAACTCAACAACTTCATCATTGTTCATACATACTGATAGCGTCCGACACCTTTAAATTAACAAACTGAAGGGAGGCTGAACGTCGAAGAAATGATAGGTATTATGCAGCAGAAATCCTGTAGAATTCAAGATGGAACAATTGGATAACAGAAGAAGTTGTAAAGCTGGGAAAAAGAAAATCTTTGATGCCATTAGTTAAGTGCTCAGTCACGAACTTATTAGGTAGATAAATTCTTTTCTCTTTTGGGTTAATAATCATGCCATGTAATATTGATCGATGACAAGTTCTTATATAATGTATAATGTTCCAAATTCACTGTAACAGAAGTTCACCAGAAAAATAAGTATTCATGTATATTATTCAATTCAATTATTGCATGACTCTTATCTCATTAGTAAATAGTTAAGAAACATAAAAATACTGGAACTCAAAGTTTCAAATTATATAGTTCTGAAAACTTATATTTTCTCTGCTGTTTCTTTAGAGATAGATCGAAAACAGCCTCTTTACCTGCACAAGGGTTACGGCTGTGTACACATTACCCTCTCCAGGCCCCTATTTGTGGGATTGCGCTGGGTTTGTTATTGTTGCCCCTATTTGTGGGATTGCGCTGGGTTTGTTATTGTTGTTTTTTAGAGATAGAAGGTTGGCTTGCTGGTTATACGATGTACTGTAATTTGTAAGAGAAGAATTTGGAACAAGATACAATGGGAAATTTTTTTATCATCTTAATTGTAGTACAACTCATATATTCAATTACAATTCAAAATTGATTACTATTGGTGGTCTTCAACTGCAAGTGAGCTTCAATGGAATCCTGAATTTGTACTCTCTGTAATTGCTTCTAAATACTAGATAATATCAATAATGCTAAATGAACAAAGTTTGTGTTCAACTAGTCAATCTTACCAATCTAGCAGTGAAGGCTCAAAGATGATCTTCAACTTGTCTCAAATGAAAATTGCAGTGAATCCAATTTTCTGCATTGACAATATACAGCAAAGGCTGCATTTTTACAAGGCATTCTTGAATTTAATCCCAATCTTCTTCACCCAATTGTTCTTCATCTTCCCATTTTGGTGGCCTAACTACTATAAGCACAATTCCTAAGCTCTGTTCAACCCCTCTTTTCTTCAATGTTGACCCTCTTTCCACTTTCAATCCCTCCTCATTGCTCCCATCTCCACCATCAACCACCAAGTAAAACCCGTCCTCCGACGCCACTTCTGTCCTTCCCCTATCCGCCACTACCAAAACTGGCTCTTGCTTGTACTTGCTCTTCTCCCTCCAAGGCAAAAAGTTCCCGCTCTTGAACGACACTGCAACTCCACCTCTCTCTAACCCCGCGATAGGTTGCCATCCGGGCAAAACCACCCATCTCCTCCAATCCTTCTCCGCCTCCACGATACCAAAATCCCCTATGCCACCACATTCCCATGGCGCCGCCTCCACCTCCACTTCTCTCCCCTCCGCCTTACAAACGGGCAAAACCACTACAATGGTCGACTCAGCTACCTCCCCTAACTTCATTCTCACCAAAGGCACTGTCACCCCATCATCAAGTACACTCTCCTTAGCAACCTCACTTCCTTCTAGCTCCATTACAAGCAAATTCCTCGCACTTTCAGACTCAACAACTTCTAATGCCTTCTCCATTGTCGACCTTCTCAAATCCTCAGAAGCCGCAGCAGCATATTCTTGAGCTAATCTAAAATACATAAAAGCCAAACAATCACCAGGAGAATCACCATTAAACTTGTCCCAACCATAGTCCACACGTCTACGCGGATAATCTTTAATTGCTCTAGCTAAATCTTGAGCTTGTTTTGCATCAAATCCGTTCTTTACCAAAAATGTTGCGGCATCAGCTCGTTGCCTAGCACTGAGCAAACGAATTTCATATAATAACTCAGCACCTCCAGATTCAAAATACGACAACGTTTCTTCGTCTAAAGCAGCAGACTCAACAAGAGTATCACGAACTTGGGAAGCAACTACCAACCGATTCTGATCAACTCCAGTAAGGCCAGTGATTTCCTCAAGAGTTGAAGGAGTGAAACCTTCACTTGTTAAATAAGGTATCAAAGGAGCATATTCATACCAAAGACCAAGACGGTTAGTTAGAACTTCGAGCTTTCCATTTGTGTCAAGATTGCGGAATTTGGGTGGGAGAGGTGGAGGAGGAGGTCTAAAAGGCTGATAAAGTTGTTGCTGTTGTTGTTGTTGGGTTGAATATTGTTGTTGTTGGCCTGAAGAAGGAGGAATTATGAGTGCTGTTATGGGTTTTGGATTGAGATTCGGTTTATGGGTTATGGAGGGTGGGGGGTGGTGGTGACTAGGGAGAAATGGGGTGGAGAGGGAGAGAGGTTTAGGGGAGTTTACAGTGAGAGAAAACATGGTTGAGGAGATGAAGATTGTGAAGAAGAAACTATCTTATCTTTATGTGTTTGATATTTTTGAGGGAAGGGGAAGATGGCAAATGGACGTTCTTTTTCTGGGTTGTTGTTTTGGGCTTTGTTCTGGACTTCTGAGTTCTGATACTGGACTTGATTGGGCCTTGGCTTGTTTATTGAGAGCCCAATAACAAAGTTGAACCAGGAACTAATAAAGGGTGAAGTGCACTAGTAGCCACTTTTAAGTTTGCTATTTAAAATATATCATAATTTATAGTATTTTTGAAAATTAGTCAGTTCACCCAAATTTCAATACTTAGTATCATGAGTTTTTGTATCCTAAATTTTTAAATAGCATTGCTTAAAAGTGTCTGTCTGATGTCATTTCCATACAAATAAATCGGCCTTGTTTGATCCATAACATTCTGATATTGAACTTAGCTTTTCAGCCCATAAACAATTTGCGTAGATAACTTTGTGGCCCATATCTTTTCTAATTTGGGTGGTGCACAAATAGCCACTTTTTAGGACTATTATTTAAAATCTGCCCAAAATATACAAAGTATTTAAAGTTTAACCACTTCAGAATCAATATGAGACCAATGGGGAGGAACCTTTTGACATTGCTTTGTCAGAATATTACACTGTGTAGATAGGTAAAATTTTCTTTTTACCTATATAAATTGAAACTCCTTGACTTTTCGTGTATTACTTGTTACATTTCGATCCCCTTAATGAAAATAATTTCTCCGCCATTGCTTGAGACCATTGGTTTGAAGTTTTAAACTTCAAGCCTTTGGGTATGAAGTTTGAACTATCAAACCCCAACTTTAGAACAACAAGAAGAAGCTTTAATATGTATTCGAACTTCATACCTGCGATCTACAGTTTGGCTTTCAAACCTTCAAACCTAAACGTCTGAAGATGAAGAAAAAGCAATGCTAAGAAGAAGTGGTCCGAAGTTTGAACAAAATAGCTCATAGTTTTGCTAGATTTTCTATATCTTTGTTGAAGGATATCTCGTGGGAGAAGTTTTGCCCAATTGGATTGTCCAGGATGCGAGGAGTACATTTGAACTTTGTTGTTCGTTTGATATAGTAATGTATAGTTCTACGTTTCGGGTGGGTGGGGGGGGAACGTTTATACTTTTTTTAGAAGGATATATTTATGTACCTCAACAACTTAATTTACATGTCTTTGACTATATAAAAGACAATTTAAAAAAATTACTACTAAATGATATAACGAGATATGAATGTGTGTACGTGTAAAATCGGGGGTAAAGTTACCCTTGATTTCCCGGTAAAGAAACGAGAGGGGACCACGATCTGACATGACCTCGAGTAAAGCCAATGGATTTCACGTCTCAGAGCCCGGGAAGGACGAATGGTGCACCCGGGACCGGACACAGCCGAGCATTGGGTTCGAGTAGAGTGAAGAGCCGAGACTAGGGGAAAAGACAGTTAGATACGATAAGCGGGGGGCCGAAATATCTGCCTTAACCGGATGTTACAACGCAAATCTCGCCCGACATCAACTGCATAACAATGTTTACTGGAAGAAGAAGATTTTTTACCTTATTTTGACTTGCATTGGAACGTATATACTTTTTTTAGAAGGATATATTTATGTACCTCAACAACTTAATTTACATGTCTTTGACTATATAAAAAACAATTTAAAAAAATTACCACTAAATGATATAGCGAGATATGAATGTGTGCACGGGTAAAATCGGGGGTAAAGTTACCCTTGATTTCCCGTTAAAGAAATGAGAGGGGACCACGATCTGACATGACCTCGAGTAAATCTAATGGATTTCACGTCTCAGAGCCCGGGAAGGACGAATGGTGCACCCGGGATCGGACACAGCCGAGCATTGGGTCCAAGTAGAGTAAAGAGCCGAGACTAGGGGAAAAGACGGTTAGATACGATAAGCGGGGGGCCGAAATATCTGCCCTTAACCGGATGTTACAACTCAAATTTCGCCCGACATCAACTGCATATCAATGTTTACTGGAAGGAGAAGATTTTTTACCTTATTTAGACTTGCACTGGAACGTACATACTTTTTTTAGAAGGATATATTTATGTACCTCAACAACTTAATTTACATGTCTTTGACTATATAAAAGACAATTTACAAAAATTACCACTAAATGATATAGCGAGATATGAATGTGTGTACTGGTAAAATCGGGGGTAAAGTTACCCTTTTTTTTCTCGTTAAAGAAACGAGAGGGGACCACGATCTGACATGACCTCGAGTAAAGCCAATGGATTTCACGTCTCAGAGCCCGGGAAGGACGAATGNGAATCAATATGAGACCAATGGGGAGGAACCTTTTGACATTGCTTTGTCAGAATATTACACTGTGTAGATAGGTAAAATTTTCTTTTTACCTATATAAATTGAAACTCCTTGACTTTTCGTGTATTACTTGTTACATTTCGATCCCCTTAATGAAAATAATTTCTCCGCCATTGCTTGAGACCATTGGTTTGAAGTTTTAAACTTCAAGCCTTTGGGTATGAAGTTTGAACTATCAAACCCCAACTTTAGAACAACAAGAAGAAGCTTTAATATGTATTCGAACTTCATACCTGCGATCTACAGTTTGGCTTTCAAACCTTCAAACCTAAACGTCTGAAGATGAAGAAAAAGCAATGCTAAGAAGAAGTGGTCCGAAGTTTGAACAAAATAGCTCATAGTTTTGCTAGATTTTCTATATCTTTGTTGAAGGATATCTCGTGGGAGAAGTTTTGCCCAATTGGATTGTCCAGGATGCGAGGAGTACATTTGAACTTTGTTGTTCGTTTGATATAGTAATGTATAGTTCTACGTTTCGGGTGGGGTGGGGGGGGAACGTTTATACTTTTTTTAGAAGGATATATTTATGTACCTCAACAACTTAATTTACATGTCTTTGACTATATAAAAGACAATTTAAAAAAATTACTACTAAATGATATAACGAGATATGAATGTGTGTACGTGTAAAATCGGGGGTAAAGTTACCCTTGATTTCCCGGTAAAGAAACGAGAGGGGACCACGATCTGACATGACCTCGAGTAAAGCCAATGGATTTCACGTCTCAGAGCCCGGGAAGGACGAATGGTACACCCGGGACCAGACACAGCCGAGCATTGGGTCCGAGTAGAGTGAAGAGTCGAGACTAGAGGAAAAGACGGTTAGATACGATAAGCGGGAGGCCAAAATATCAACCCTTAACCGGATGTTACAGCGCAAATCTCGCCCGACATCAACTGCATATCAATGTTTACTAGAAGGAGAAGATTTTTTACCTTATTTAGACTTGCACTGGGACTGAAACTCCCCTACTATATAAAAGGGGGAACCTTTTCATTTTAGAACCATTGTTGGCACGCATGTCAAAGCAATAAAGTTAATTTTTATTCTTTAACTATTGTTCAAAGTGTTCTTCAGCTGCTTGTTTATTAAATTGTAGCCGAGCTCGTTCCGAGGGCTAAATCGGAACCGATTTTCAAACATCCATTGCAAAGCTAGACTTGTTCATCCATTACATTTGCTTTGATCGCTTTGATTTCTTTTAATTCAATTATCTATTGTTTATATTTTATTAGTGTTAAATTCACATATCCTTTAATTGAGTACAAATTCAATTGTTACTCATCTTAAAGGTAAATAGTTCGGCGACCACCATGGGGCTAAGAATAATAGTAGTGATTTAATACAGATCACCATAACACACCCTATTTTACACTTGATCTTTGAAGTCTGATTGCAGGTTAATCTAAAAATATCAAATTTTCAGTCTGCTCACTTGAACGTTGACACCGAGTCAGGCCACCACAGTGAAAATAATAACATGGTACCAAGCAATGACGTACCCCTCTATCGATCCTAATGGTGTCCCAATTGCTGACCCGGTCGACGCTAACTCACAAGTTGTCATGAACATCAACCTACCAACTTTTCACGACCCAAACCGAAGGGCCGCGACGGGCACCCGGTGCCTTACTCAACCGAGTACCAACGTAACATATCTTTCTTATCATACTATCATGGGTAAATGAGCTAGAAAACCCTTCATGAGATAACAAGAATAAAACATAAGGGAATACTCAACATATGATGACCCAACATGATATACAAACTTATACAGATGACATACGGGCCTATAAGGCCGACATGACCATTTGTAAACTCAAAACATAGGCCGACAAGGCCATACAAGTATCCATACACCTGACATCTGTCTACAAGCCTCTAAGAGTACATAAAATCATAAAGGTCGGGACAGGGCCCCGCCATACCAATCAATACATATCCAAAGCATAGTGACCAAATAGGCAACTCCGGAGCAAGTGGAGTACACCAACACCTTCGCTGAGCTGATAGCCTACTGTCACACCTCCTTTTTTACACACCTACCCCGAAGGATAATGTATAAGGGAGTTTTTCCATTTAAAGTGACATTATTCGAAATGGGATTATTTATTTATTATTAGAGTCGCCACTTGGGATGGGGTTGGCTTTTGGTGTCCCAAGTCACCGGTTTAATTTGAATCCCAAATCGAGGAAAAATTTCGACTTCCCAATTGGAGTCTGCAAATCAGAAATTCTGAATAAGGAATTCTGTTAACCCGAGGGAAGATGTTAGGCACCCCCGGATCCCGTGGTTCTAGCACGGTCGCTTAAATTATTATAAATGGCTAAAAATCTGATTTTATACATGTTTTAACTTATGTGCTTTTTTAAATTTAAACCGCTTTTATTATTCATTTGTAAAGAGAATTGCAACGTCGTGAAAACACGTCTCGAACCACGTCACATAAATGCACCCGCGGTTTTTGACACATTTCGACTTCGTTGAGATTTGGATTTGGGTCACATAAATGTGCACCCGAGTTTAGGAAGGTAGAATTACTAAAAGCGCGCCTAAAGTGACTAACGTATTATTAACTTTGTGGGAGGCCATGAAATTCGCTAAATAGAGCGTCCCGAATTCTAAGGATTTTAATATAAATATTTAAAGAGGGCCATGCAATTTATGAGTTTTATTTGGCATG